TTGAAAATAAAAATGCTTTCTGTTGAACACAACATATTCAAGTAAAATGGATAACAAGTATATGTGATTGCCTGAATGTAGAGTTCAAAGGAATGTGAGATCACTGATAGTATCTGATGTGTTCAAGTATATTTTTCCTACGAAAATCTTGATAATTAAAAACATAACTTGTAAATAGCTACAGCTCTTTCGACTTCATTTTAATTTGAGCTAGACATTTAACTTCTGTTAAATAAAAATAGTGCTAGTAAGAGCATTCTAATATTACTGTGCAATAAGAAACAGTTTTTACATTGTTAGAAGAGTGTTAGCAGGAAAAGTGTTACATGTACAGTTATTTTAAGTCTTGCTTTTTCCTGCTTACACCTTATCCTATTCTGTCTAAGACTGTAACTAATGGTGTGACATCTGGCAACCATACTACCTCAGGCTGTGACCTTGTCAATTCTTGTAAAGCTGTGAAAAAAGTATAACAGTGTAAGCATCAGGTTTGGATTTTTTTTAAACCGTCTAGAAGAACAGAATCAAATATAGACACAAGCTACTCAGCTTTTTAGTCTCTGAAGAGCTAAATCTGCTTTCCGCACAACAGATTCTTTCAAGAGTTGTAGTTAGGTCTGATGCAGGCTGGGTTTTCTGGGGGCAAGGAGGTCTTAGAGCTCACAGTAGGTCTACTTTATGTTTCCCATTAATTTATATCATCCACCAAGATATAAATGGCAAAAGAAAGCAGACTGTGCAAAGATGTGAAGAATATCATTGCAAAATTTTGTTGGCAGAAAGCATTTTGCAAAATTGTGCACTTTTGCTATCTGCTTGAAAAGCATACTGTTTGCATTGCTAAGTTGTTAATATTAGAAAATAAGTGCTTTGTTATCTCTTTAGGCCTTTGGTTCACAATTGTTTTCATACTTCGAATTGCACATATTGTCTCTTTGACTTGCTGGAAAAAGAGAAACCAACCTCCTTGACCTGCTTTCTGGCAGAGGTCATGTTCTATTAGATGACACGACTTTACAGAGTAAGCGGCTTTGCTCAGTCTGGGTGGAGTTTGTAACAGTATCTTCTCATTGCATGGCAATGATCGTCATCAAGCCTTTTCTGTTAGAAACAATTCCTTTGCATTAAACCTCATGAGAAGTGGCATTCAGAGTAAGCAACTCAGTGCAAAGAGGCAAGTCAGGAGGAACTCTAGAAATAATATTAGGCATTTAGATAAAATTGATGATAGCAAAGGGCAGGAAAGAAATCCTGAGTGTCCCCAAAATTTTCAGTTACCCAGGTACCGGCTTCCCTGTCTTGTGATCTTTTTTTTTTTTTTTTTTTTTGCTTAAGAAAACTTCTCAAGGCTTCTTCAAATTGGCAAACAAAATTCTCTTGAACTGGCATGTTATCTGACAGTCAGTATTTAAAGAATTTTGTGAAGTATTTTGATATCTAAAAGCTTTTGCTAGATGAAGAGAATGGCAGAAATGTTTGCCTTTTGTATTTTCAAAGGCATGATTGCAGAGTTCTTCTGATCCCTAACACTTCATGTAATATAAAAAAGGTGTATGTGAGCTTGCAAAATGAAACTACTGGTAAATCACTCTGGTAAATTCCAGTTGTGAGGGAGAAACTATCACACCTTCTACCAGACTTATCCTGTGAAAGAGTATGTTTGGTGGGGTGTTTAACAGTATCTGCTACACTCTGATGTTTGACACAGGTCAAGAGGTTTTGATGGCTAATTACTCCCAGAAAGTAGAAGCTTTAAGACAATCTTGGTATCTATTTTTTCCTCTGTCAATGGAAAACATTTGAAAAAATATCTTTGTCAGGATATTCATCTTTCAAAAGTATTCTTGTTTACCACACTGTTGAGTTGCCTGAGACAAATCCGAGGATAGAGTTTTGGAACAACTACTCCTAACACAGGAGCCGTAAAATCAACAGGAAAAATCCTGTAGCTATGAACAGCATTTGGAATAAAATACCATGCCTTTTTTCTTCTAAAGATTGGTGTTAGTTATGACCTCATTTATCTATGTTTATCCTTTATCAGCGATACTATCCAAATGTTTAATTTTTTCTACTCAGATCATCATTCTTTTTATTGAAAATTACTGCCACAAGCTGATACATTAAATGTCCTTCAGCTTTGCTTTTCTTTATCTAAATTGGGTGATGGTAAACACTGAAGCAAACCTGCTAAATACAGCATCTTTTTCATTATTATTTTTTCTGTTTAAGTTCATGTGTGCACGGAAGATGGGTCTTTAACAAAAGAATATTTGCAACACTCCACATTCAGAAAGCCTATAATTACATCCAAGCATTCGTGCGTATTGATGTTTGAGAGTTAGTTAAAAGAGATTTCTGCATTTTGGGATATCTGAAATCCTAGCTGAGTTCTGCGTGTTATTTTAGCTGGCTTCTTAGAATATAACAAGTTATTGAAATAAAGTTAATATTCTGCAAATAAGCAGAATTTTCATAGAATTCTTAAAAAAAAAAAGAAAGAAAAGAAAAAAAATCAGAAATATGTGCAACTATAAAATTGCAAATTTCCTTAGAAAACATAGTGCGAAAAGTACTTTATACTCAGGAATCCTAATCCATTCCTGTATATGTAGAAGCTGATTATATAAGACCTTCCTGAGAATTCAACCACTGTGGAATTCCCAGAAATCTATAATGGCAAAAAAATAACTAGCACCCCTGCAAGAAGCACTCTTAAATAGAAGTTAATCAAACCTTCTACTTAGCTGGTTTCCTTTACTGTATCACAGATCCATCAACATGAATGAAACTGAGTATAAGTTACGGCCTGATGCAAAAAGGAATCCCTCGTTCAAGTTACTAGGTTAATAGGTTACTGGTATGACTGAAAACCTGAGCACGAAAGCCAAGAAATCTAGCTTCATTGCTGGTATCAACATTACAGATAATCATAAACAAGGAACTTAAGTATATTCTTTGCTAAATGTTCTCTCTTTTTAGGTATTGATATCTTTGGATTTAAATACTTGTGAACAGATCTTGGAGATTGTTTCCAATCTCCAATTGGAAACATTGGGATTTAAATACTTGTGAACAGATCTTGAGAGATTCCTGAGCGTTTCCAATGTCAATTGAGGACAAAAGGAAAATACTTGAAAATCAGATCGGGAAAAAGCAAGGAAACTCAAACACTCTTTGAAGGTACTTTAACATGTTGTCTTTAGAAAGGTACAAAAGAGCAACCCAAGGGAGGCTGTAGCTCTAGTGTCCCCTCTGCCATGCTGATTGCATGCCCGCTTCATGCATTCCTCCTCTTGCAGGCTGAGTCTTAATCTGCCCGCACCTTTAACTAGTCTTCTTGCCACTCCGCAAAAGTAAAATAATTCATATCCCTTACTTATCTTTCAGGACTGCTGTGAAACTTAATTAGAAATGGCAGTGAATTCATCCTGTGTGTAATTTCATTGACTATTATCCAACTGGGCTAGCATCTTTAAGGAGCCTTCTCCAGGATAACCATTATCTACCATCCAAGTATTATTTCCATTATTAAACACTGATTTACTTTATGGCAGTATCAAGTAGGCCTGTGATTGCCAATCAAATTTAGCACCTTAGTCTAGGGAAGGACTTCCCTATTTTCATCCTCATTTCAAGGATTCAAATTCTGGATAGAAATGACATTTTTCTCTATATTTGTCCAAACCATATTCCCTGCAGAAAATACACTAATGCAGTTGTTGCAGAATAGCCATCTATACTGGAAAGAAACACCTACACACCCTAATATGCATAATATGAAAAGCTAAGTCAGACATCATGGGAAAATATCTGTACCAACAATGTACAAAATTAAGTTCTGTTCTGATCTTATGCCACAGACAGATCTGAATTTATTAAACTATTTTTAATTTATTTAAGTTATTACACAACTAATCAGTGTAATAAGACAAGTAAGTAAAATGGTATTCTTTCACTTATTCAGAAAAAAAAAAAAGAAAAAAGACTAAATTTACCATGCTAAAATTTCAATACATGATTTTACAAGTCCTGGTATTCAAAAATCCAGTGTTTTAACCAGGGAGTCCTTCCTAACAATCAAAATAATAGCCTGCCTAATGTTCAGGCGCATTCAATTGTGATTATTTGAAAACAACAATTTTGACTTTTTTCAAGATAATTGAAAGGCAAAGTAATAAATAAAATCAAGCAACTTCTTAGCTACTCCACAAAATCAAGATTTATAACTTCAGTGTCGTAATAAGATGACAAATATTTTGCAACCTAAGTCTTTATCAAGTTTGTCCTTAATTTTAAGTGTCAGTCAAAATGGTGATAACTGAAAAAGCCTAAAATTAGCTTTATAAAACATTTGAAATCTATTTGTCTTCCTCAGTCCTGATAGAGGTTGGTAAGTATAATTATTTCACTGACCATGACATTTTCTGTTGTTCAAATCTACAACTCTATCAACCACCCCTTGCTGGATATAATCTGTTTTGAGCTTAAGGGTTGAAAGACAAATATCTAGAAATGCAAACACAATATAAGCTCAGACTAAAAAAAAACACTTTCATAAAAACCCGTCTGTGGAAACTTATGCAGCTATACTGTCATCTAATTTATTGCTTCTTTTAATGAGAAATTTTAGCATTTGTCCAACAATAAAATTATTCTAATGGAAGTATACTTGTCCAGTAAAACAATACTGAGCTAACTTCCTTGATGAAAACAAATAAAACATAAATACCTTTTTAGTGCTTTGATTTTTTTTTCTCGGATGAACAACATTTTGCACGATTAACTTCTATCTTCTGAAAAAAAATCAAAATATCCTGTAATAATTTTGTGTGTGACTTTTTTTTTGTCTCAACTGGGACCAAGTTTGCTCAGCTCGAGCAGATCTTACAATTTGCACCAATGTGACCAAGTTTTGAGAAAACGTCTCACAGAATAAACAAAGCAATAAAGAATCAAGTGTTCTCTATGTAACAGCAGTTTAACAATAGTTTCGCGCTATGTGTAGAGCCTTTGTTTCTGGATCTGGGAACAGCATATGGGCAATTCCTCTTACCCTCAAAGGTCAGATTCCATTATATCTGACCTCTTCACTACAAATTAGCAAACAAAGCCATTTGTGAGCCCTCACTGCTTATCATTGTTACTCATGCAAATCTGTTGCAATGGGCTATTTAGGACAGGCAATGCTGTAACGCAAGCTACATGACAATGCATGCAAATAACCATCTGACTGTGCTATAAAGACCGAGGCAAGAAGCTAACATTAATTTTTCCCACTTGTCTACATCTGTTGGCTCTAATAACAAAAATATCTGGGGGAAAAAAAAAAAAAGCAAGCCGTTTTTAGCCTTCAACCTGCATTGGAAGAATGTGGGTCACATGCCAGAAGAAATAGAGAGATGTTAGCGAAGAAAAGGGAAGCAAAGGTGTACTCCAGTTTATTAGCAGATTTAGAACTCTAAAAACCCAGGAAAAAAAATCAGATATTCTGAGTTTTACATTGAAGAACAAGTTCATTTCAATATGTACATTTTCTTAGATATATCTTCCACGTTTCTTTTCTTACAAGGCATATTTAAAGGATGTTAAATACAATTACACTGTGTTGTATTTGCATTGATTGATTTCAGTGTAGTATATCCTATATAACACCTATATTTTAGGTGTAGACAGTTGCAGCCAAATGTCAAAATTCTCCAAAAGTGTGTGTGTTTTCCACCCAGAGACTGACCCAAAATAGCAAAACATTTAGGCATGCCAGTTCGACCCACTTAAATGCAAAATTTTTAGTATTTGGAATGCAGAATACATTAATATATTTTTTTTATGATAATGAAGTGGACTATACCGGAGAGTACAAAAAATAATCCTGTAACAGCCAGAAGATGAGCTATTTCATCTTGTTAATTCATTCTGTCTGTAATTTACATAATTTTATGTGACTCAGCACTTGTTCACAGAATAGGTTTGCCTTATATAAACCTCACAGACTCACAAACTCACAGAATGGTTGAGGTGAGAAGGGACCTCTAGAGATCATTTTGTCCAACCCCCCTGCTCCAGCAGGGACACCTAGAGCACATGGCACACGGTGGCATCTGGGCAGGTTTGAAGATCTCCAGAGAAGGAGACTCCACAACCTCTCTGGACAGCCTGTTCCAGGGCTCCGTCACCCTTACAGGAAAGAAGGAACATAGTTTCTGCAGCCTTTTTCAAATAAACAACTCTGAGATTAAGTTCTTTGTAGTAATTGTCCTTTGGAATTAGACTTCCTATCAGTGACACATCCCTTACTTATAAGAATAATCAATTGTATGTTGTTAATAATAAAAATATTTCCAAAAATATTATGGTAAATTGATGTGGGGCATGTGGAACTTGGGCATCACAAATAAGCTGTATAATGTGTAAGAGACTGAATGAAGATAGTCCTCTCCTACTCCTAGCTCTTCCTGTTCTTGCATTGTGCTATGTTTTCATTATACATGTAGGGGATTTTTTAGGTATAATATATAGTTCAGAATAGGTAATAAGTTTCTACTGAAAGACATATATAACAGGTTTCCTATCCAACACATTTTTTGCTTTCTTTTTCTTTGACTTGAAAAAAAAAGAGGGTTGGAAAAAAAAAAAAAGGTTTGAAAACCACCAGGAATATTTTCTTGTATCAGTCATATAAATGTATTGGACTGGACAAGCGGAGAGTGAGGTGGATTGAGAACTGGCTGCATAGCAGAGCCCAGAAGGTGGTGACAAATGGGGTCGAGTCCGGTTGGAGGCCTGTGGCCAGTGGTGTCCCGCAGGGGTCAGTACTGGGCCCAGTGCCGTTCAACTTGTTCATCGGTGACTTGAACACAGATTGCACCCTCAGCAAGTCTGCAGATGATACAAAACTGGGTGGAGTGGCCAACACTTCGGAGGTCTGTGCTGCCATTCAGAGAGACCTAGACAGGATGGAGAGTTGAGCAGAGAGGAACCTCATGAGGTTCAACAAGAACGAGTGTAGGGTCCTGCACCTGGGGAGGAATAATCCCAGGCACCAGTACAGATTAGGGTTTAACCTGATGGAAAGCAGTTCTGTGGACAGCGATTTGGGAGTCCTGGTTGACAACAGGTTAACCATGAGGCAGCAATATGCCCTTGTGGCCAAGGCCAATGGGATCCTGATCTGCATCGGGAGGAGCGTTGCCAGCAGGTCGAGGGAGGGGATCCTGCCCCTCTACTCAGCTCTGGTGAGGCTGCACCTGGAGTATTGGGTGCAGTTCTGGGCTCCCCAGTACAAGAAGAGCATTGAGCTTCTAGAGAGGGTCCAGCGGAGAGCCACGAAGATGTTTAAGGGACGGGAGCATCTATCATATGAGGAAAGACTAAGTGAGCTGGGCCTGTTTAGTCTGGAGAAGAGAAGGTTGAGAGGAGATTTGATCAACATGTTCAAGTACCTGAGGGATGATTGTAGGGAGGATGGGGCCAGGCTCTTCTCTGTGGTGGCCAGTAACAGGACAAGGGGTAACGGGTGTTAAGTTGAAAAACAGGAAGTTCCACCTCCATGTGAGGAAGAACTTCTTTACTGTGAGAGTGACAGAGCCCTGGAACAGGCTGCCCAGAGTGGTTTTAGAGTCTCCTTCTCTGGAGATCCTCGAAACCTGCCTGGATGCCACCCTGTGCTATGTGTCCCTGCTTGAGCAGGGAGGTTGGGCTAGATGATCTCTAGAGGTCCCTTCCAACCTCAACCATTCTGCGATTCTGTGATTCTGTGTATATAAATGCAGTCATTAGGACTTTTTCATTAGAATCTTCCCATATGTTTAAGATTTCTAACAGAGATATTACAAGCCATGAAATCCTGTAGAATGCTATAGAAAAGGGATGTAATTCCTTTACTCCCTCATCCACCAAAAAGAAAAAGAAAAGAGAGTAAACAAAAGAAAAAGGAAGCACTGGTTGCATTCGGGATGCTCAATTTTTAATATTATATACCTCGTAATATAAAGAAGTGTATAATTCTGAGAATAAATGACCTAATTTGCCTGCATCTTGCAAGTAATGTCCATAGGGCACCATGAAGGGCTAGTCCTTCACTTGCTATGAATCTCAGTCTGCTGGCTTGAAAGATGGATAGGGATAAACCCCTCCATGCAATTACAAACCTATTTCAGTGCTTTGGTAAAATATAAAGCCATAAAAGTGTTTTTACCCTCAGTAAAGATCTCAGTGAAGATCTAAATCGCAGACAAGGATTAGCCCTTTTAAAACTTAATTTGTTCCTTTGTAAATGAATAAAGAACTTAATATTTTCTGTCTGTTTTAGTTATGGTTAGAAAGCTCATTACTCCTTAAAACAGTATTTTATCTTTGGTTAAATTGTCTTAATACTCTAGACAAAAGTTATAGCCCATGAAGATCAGGTATCTCACTAATCCAGAGTACCTTACTGTATCATTCCACTTTTTGCAAAAATTGTTTCCATGTCACTTGTCAGGAGTGCAAGAAATAAAGTGCATTTCATCATTTTGAAACACCACACTATTTGTTGCAGCTTTTCTGATACATTGCTAAAGAGAATTATGTCTAATATCAATATATTTTCTTTCCAAATCTAGTCATATCCGGGCACTTAAGAGTGTTTACTTTAACTGGGCCTGTATGTCTTTTTGAAGTTATGAACAATTTTCTCAAACAAGGAAGTTCTATTAATACAAGTTTACAGGCAAGAAGTCTGTGTCTACATTTCTTCTCTGACTCATCTGTTATTAAAAGAACGAGTGTCTTCTTTAGAAAACTGTATTTTACAACTGGAGCCTGAAACTTCAAAACTGTTTAGAATCTTCCAAAGTCAAAACTTTGCAATGTTAACATCTCAGATTAAACAAAGAGTAGCTTTATGTGTGTCATGGAAAAATACAAATGCAATGTAATACCTGATCAACATCTTAATTAACATCCTATAAACCTGGTAGTTTATTTAAAGCATTGCCAGTGTGGGTTCGTTCCTCCAAAGAACTCTCCTTATTCTCTCAAATATCAAGATAATTATATAATACAGTTGTGAACTTAGTAAATACAACCATTTCCTAAATTCTCCAAAAAATAATTGTGTACCCTCATGCCTGTATGTACTACTGAAATAACCCTCACAGATGAGGACAGAAGGACATTTTCCTTCTAGAAAAGAACATTTTATTGTTGATGGATGAGATAGTTTGATGTGCTAACTATGAAAAATATCATATAGATAACGAATAACTTCTGATTAAATATTTTAGTAACAGGGTCTTCTTGGATTTCCACTGGCATTCTTTTGTACAATATACACTTTTGCAGCTTAAGATGTCAGTGGATTTCCTTTAGTTGTGAATTACAGCTCATTTTCTCAGAAAGGACTTCAAGCATATTTTACTGTAATATATAATTTTATGTTAGAAGCAGAAGAAGAGTTAAGGATATCTCAGTGTCTATCTGCTATTATTTTTTTTTCTTGAAGCTGGTAATTGTCCAACAATTGCAGCATGAATGCTTATTATGCAAGGCCTCGGATCTGAAAAACGTTTTAAAAATAAAGTATTATTTAAATCATCCCTGACTTGCTCTGAATAAAATATGAAATGGAAATGTCAAACAATATTAAACATATTTCTCCCAGGGTCTCAAGTCCTAATGTTCTGGTACTGGAATTGACAAACCTTTTTCCTAAGAAAATGTTGACAGAAAGAGAGTACCTAAATTCTGAAGAATAAAGAATCTAAGTTCTTTGTGAAACAAAACAAATACATACATGTTAGACTGGTGATATGTCAATAATTTAAATTAACGCTCTGACTTAATTAAATACTGAGGCAGTAAAAATGTCCAATGACTTAACTGGACCAAGGTTTCAACTTCTGTGTGCAATTAGCAGTAGTGTCAGTGGAATTGTATTTTTATGTATTGTAATTTTTACATGACACATTTTTTACTGGATTTGTTCAGAGAAGGACAGCTTAAAGAAATATTAAAAAAACTTTCAGATAAATGACCTGCTATTAATTTATGAATGTATAAAGGATGCTAGAATCAAAGTGGGA